TGATAAAACATGCATAGGAGATAAAGACGGGTGCAGCGGTAGGGTTAAGGCGAGGTACATGTACGCATGGCAGAAATAAATAAATACGTGAGCATACAGGCATGTATCTGCAGGTGTGCTTAAACTCATACGCCAACAACAAAGACAAGCATTGAGGAACACACAATACTAGAGGAAGCCCTTGCGAGGTGTAAAGTAGAACACGAGTGATCTTTGATATATGTATAAACAAGCACATGTACATGGCAGTTGTCAAGAATATAATCATGTGTGTACGTATGCACTCCACATCGAGTTCCCGTGTATGCATATGCAATGAACATGGGTAGACAGGAGAAGTTTGACTGTAACTTCATGGATCTTCGTCTCTATTCAAAGCTATGATGGTCAGACATCATCGTATACACTAGCATCCTTATATTTAGATCCAAATATAATTATACGAAAACAAACATTCAGGCAGAAACACACGTACATAAGAGTCAACAATACAGCAAGAATGACGGTGATATCCAACGCGCAATCATCTGGCAACTGAACAGTAAAGTCACATTGTGTGGGCAGAAGGACTAGGCGCATATCTATTGATACCATAGACAGACATCCATGAACAGTAAAAGCATAGCTGAGCATGTGCATATCTGTTGTTACCATAGGCACATATATGAACAATAAACGCATAGCTAAACATGAAAATAGCCGCATGTCGATCCAACTACGTCTACCTGTACGATTAAGAGTTCACGTATATACATACATCTTGAGTACATAGAAAACTTCTAGATGAACAGGTATTTAGATACTATACCACAAACGCACTGTGCAGGTAGAAGTGTATCCTATGACCCATTTACATCGGCAAACGAGGGCGAACACGTGAACGTACCACAAAGGCTTTCATTGTCGGATGGAGCAAGTTATCGAGACCGTACCTGTAGAGATCAAGTACAGAGCATGCACACACAAACACGCACCTTGACACACGGTATGTGAGCAGACCACACACTTCGACCCCAAGACTAGATGGCCGGGGGTGTCGTCAGACTCAAAGGGATCCCTTTTGATATAGCAATCTTCGTGATATCTACGTTACAGTAATGAGAGAAAACGAGTCATATTGCAGGTTAAGGCAGTCAACTGGGTTATAAAAAATTGGAATAGGACACGATTTACGCAATGTGATGCCTTTGAGGGAGTGTTGCAATAGATATCTGTTTCAGATGTGTGTAGTCTGTTTTTGTATATAAGGATTGTATGTAGAAACTGATACGTTAAACATGCGAAGTAGTCAACTACACCAATTTCGAACTGAGAACATTAAAACATCATGTGACGATTTATTCTTCATCGAGTTATGTTACTCAGAGTTGCACAGCAGTGGATAAATAATGTATATATTTCTTTGACGTCTCGTGACAGAAATATTAATACGTATAAATGTAAACAAATAAACAATGAAATATATGTCCTTACTAAGATATATATAAATAAATTTCATTCCATAAATCTGAATAACACAGGCATATATATATACATATATAATTATATACGAATACATATATACATATATAATTATATACGAATACATATATACATATATAAATATACAAAGGTAAATGAGCATATATAATTATATATGAATGCATAAGTATATATAAATAGTATATACATCCTCTCACCCATCCACACACACATATACATACAAATAATTATATAAAAACAGTATATCTATATAATATAAGTATATATATATCTATCTACGTGCGTGCGTTCTTATGTTTGTGTATGTATGTATGTTTTAATGTATGACCAGGAAGTATTGGCGGATAGTATGTCTGTGGCGGACTCAGAGTTCTACACGAATATCCGGAGTCGAATTGTCTACTCATCAGGCAAATCAAATCGGGAGAGTGCGCCGAAATCAAAGGCAAACAGTTTGTCCTGAACACAAGTGCCATTCAGTTTCGAGAATACCGCTTGTATTGTTGACGTACTCTTTTTGCCTCTGGGTTCGACGATCTCTTCCGACTCGATTCTCCTGACGAGCAGGAAATCACTCCGGATACTCGCGTAGAACTCAGAGTCCTCCACAGACATACTATCCACCAATAATTGCTGTTCAAATATTGAAACATACACATACATACACACACAATATATAAATATATATACATACATACATACAAACGTAAACATGTACATATACACATATATACGATATGTATATATATGAGTGCGTGTTCTTGTGTTTGTGCATTATGTATATAAGTATGTTTTAATTTATGACCAGGAAGTATTGGCGGATAGTATGCCCGTGGCGGACTCGCGAATATCCGGAGTCGAATTGTCTGCTTATCAGGCGAATCAAAACGGGAGAGTGCGCCGAAACCAAAGGCAAACAGCTTGTCCTGAACACAAAAGTGTTATTCAGTTCCGAGAATACCGCTTGTTTTCTTGACTTACTTTTTTGCCTCTGGTTTCGACGATCTCTTCCGACTCGATTCTCCTGACGAGCAGGAAAATACTACGGACACTCCCTCAGAGTCCACTACAGACATACTATCCACCAATAATTGCTGTTCAAATATTGAAACATACATACACATACACAAACAATATATATGTGCGCTTTGTGTGTGTCTATTTATGTAGATTTGTATGTACGTTTGTATATATATATATATAGATATATATAAATATACATACATACGCATACATGTACATACACACATACATACATACGATATGTATATATATCTACAACTATACATATGTATATATATATATATATGTGCGTGTATGTGGGGGGGAGGGGGGCGTTTTGTGTGTGTGTCTATTCATGTAGATTTGTATGTACGTTTGTATATATATATAGATATATATAAAGATACATACTTACGTATACATGTACATACACATGTATATATATCTACAACTATATATACATATGCGCGCACGCGTGTGTGTGTGTACTTTCTTGTGTTTGTGCGTGTATGTATATAAGTATCTTTTAATGTATGATCAGGAAGTATTGGCGGATAGTATGTCCGTGGCGGACTCGCGAATATCCGGAGTCGAATTGTCTGCTCATCAGGCGAATCAAATCGGGAGAGTGCGCCGAAACCAAAGGCAAACAGTTTGTCCTGAAGACAAGTGCCATTCAGTTTCGAGAATATCGATTGTTCTCTTGGCGTACTTTTTTGCCTCTGGTTTCGACGATCTCTTCCGACTCGATTCTCCTGACGAGCAGGAAATTACTCCGGATATTCGCGTAGAACTCAGAGTCCTCCACAGACGCACTAACCACCAACAATTTCTGTTCAAATAATGGAATATACAAACATACACATACACACACACGCACATGTCGTAGCCAAATGAATATACCATAAAGCAGGCCATGTACGCAATTTCATGCCAGCACATCCAGCAGGACGCCGACAAATCAATATCAAAACAATATCAAAGACACCTACATACCTCTCAAAACACTGAACAACCCATTGTACACCTTGCAGCAGAAACGCGTAATTGAAATATCACAGTCATGTACATATATAATGATACCCTGTGTAAGTTGTAGGAAAACCACAACTTACACAATGTTCCGACTTCCAAACCATGGCTTTCTGCCGTAATAGTCAAAGCCAGCTGACATATCGCAGCGGAAACAGTCGAACGTACCCCCCGCCGCACGAGACTGGGGACGCGACCCAGAACTAGACATCTGGAAGATGCTTGTATTTACATAGGTGTGACAGCATATGATATACATAAAGGTTGTATTACTTATAACAGCAGATAAACAGCAGATACAAAGTGAGTTGCCAATATGACATATTCGACGATATGTATTTACGAGTGCGTGTACTGTACATAAATAGTAAAATACAGAAATACAATTTACCAAAAGCCGCACTGGTCTGGCGGGTGTGAGGACATTTTGATTTGTTTTTTATTTTGTTTTAAATACTCCCTTGTGCGGCTATTTATATCTTATTTACATAAATATAAATAGTTTAAAATATGTATGTATGCCCAACCGCCAAAGGGACTATAAAGCAAGATTGAAGAGAGAGAAGAATAAAAAACATGAAGAAAAAACCAAGTATGTATTATGTACAAACAATAAAAAATAAATACAAAATGTACTCGTCAGATTTGAGATTTGAGACAAGTTGAGAGGTGAGAGTCGTCGGTTGACAACATTCAACAACTTTACGCGCGAGAGAGACAGTGAGAGTAGACGCCTCGACACTAAGTACAGTCTATCATACCGTCTACAGTAGTACAAGTACAGTCTATTTACACACACTAGCAGCCTCGACGGTTGGCAAATATTTATTTTTAGTCAGAGACTCTCATCAGTCCTCAGAGACTCAGAGAGACTGGGAACTCTTTGAAGTGGCCCGGGTGGGTGCGGGAGACTGAGAGTCATGAAGCGAGAGGAGGCGGGCCCTAAATGCCAAAAAAAAAAGTTGGAAGTGAATTTTGTATTACTTCGAGGCAATCATCTGTCGTGTAGCGGGTCTAATAGGGGCCTATTGCAACGGTTAAAGCCAGCATATTTATTCCTCCGACTTATTCTTTTGGTAATACCTTAATTAACCAAAATATTCAATTTCGCATACTCTACGTCTGAGGTTGGGTGCCGGTGTTTCAGTCAGAAATTTTCAAATCACGGAGAGTACCTTGTTCGCCTCTAACCTGTATTTTGTAGTCAAGCTGCCGTTCCTGAGTGTCCTAGAGAGGTGTTTAAGAGAAACTATTACTGATAGATAGCCTTATTTATAAGGATAGTTGGGGTATATAACACATAGTCAGCGAGGACATGTGGAGTACCAAGTATCCATGTTACACAGCTTACACTCAGCACGAACGCAACAAGCGCGATCGGGTGTTTCCGTGCACATAGATGGACAAATAAGTTTAAGCAATACACCAAATAATCACAATAACAAGCCATATAATTTATAGCAACACACTCAATTACATAAAATATGAGCACATACACTGACGACGAATGTGCTGCCGTGGGACTGCCAGCCGGAAGGAGTGGCGTGATCATCAAATGGAACGTAGAGAAGGGCTCGAATCTGTATCTCGGCCAAGAAGTGTGCGTGTACAAATACGAAGTTCTGAACAAAGAAACCCAAAATATCGAGACTAGACAGAAGAAACTGAAGACGGGTGTCGCTGGGATTGTGGCAAGGATAGTTGTCAAGGAAAACGAGGCCATAGGTTCAAAGTATGCACAGATGGGTTTACTTTGAGATTCGTTCCTTTTTTTTTGTCGTCAATATGTGCAACAATAGTGTGTAGGTTGAGTACTTTCGTGTAGGTGTTATCGAAACATCGGAAGGGTTTGTATCAGATATGCCATAAGTACCTGTACAACAGGGGTAATACCTCCTACGGCTTGTCGGCGTGCAACACTGTGAGCTACTTTATTTATCTTCTAAACTATTGTATGTTCGGTTCTGTTATCTTCTTAACTGCTTCGGATAGGTCGACCCTACGCATATGAGTTGTGCCGAACCTTCTTTGCCTCCTTCCAGGGTGCCAGTCACCATGGTCGAGGAAGGCTGACCTAGTTGTTAGATTCTACCCACGTAACATGTTAGATGTGTTCTACTTGCGTTTTGACTATATTTTGTGTCTTATAACGTGACACCCACTACAACTGACATATCTCATCTCCCTTGCAGCCAACCCGCCGTCATGATCAAAGAAGAATGCAAGCATGAGCTTGTGTCGATGGGCATATGCAACGAGTGCGAGGCCGATGTGACCTTGTAAGTCCTGCACCGGAAGTGATGTGCACTCGTGTTTCTGACACAGTGTTAAGAATGTATAGTTTCGTAATGTTCCTTGCGCTTATTTAAACTTCTGTGTACTTGAGTGTACGTGCATGCGCACCGTGGACTTTTTGTCGCTACGGAAGCAGGAACATGATCTATGTGATCTATGTTTCCCTGCACATAAAAGATACAACGCACAAATACATACATATATATATATATATAGATATATATGTATACATACAAGATTTCTAACTCTGAACATCTTTGGCATACCTTCATACACATGTACGGGCACACAGCGGGCATTTTGCCACCAAGAAAGCAGAGACTGTGTCTATGATACATGGAGTGCCAGACCTGCATGTGTCACAGACCGAAGCCCATCGGATAGGGCAAATGGACAAACAACGCTTAATAGACCTGAACAAACTTGTTCTTATCCTAGATTTGGATCAAACACTGTTGCATGCCACAGCGTCAGTGCATGTGGATCAATGGCTGAGCACACACAACTATCCCAGAAAGGTATGCATATATATAT